GGGATATTTTTAAAAATGGATTTGGGATATAGATATAGAAATAGAGAAAGATAGATATCTATCTAGAAACAGAGAGAGAGACAGCAAATCAGTTGTACAATGCTTTATTGGTATATTTACAATTTTAAAGCAATGTGGAAGCCTACCAGTGTCTCTATCATCATGATAAAATAAGTTCTAAATACTTATGTGTTGATGTGTACTTTTGTTTTTCTTCGCACATAATGGGTGTGATGGGGGGGATGTGGTGTATGCAGGGAGGGGGTGGGAAGGAAGGTGAGTCTGCTGGAGGGATTGTGGTTTGCCACTTGTGAAATAGATGACTGGGAGTGTGGCTTTAACCTCTCCATCACATTTGAACAGAAGACAGATGTATTCTCTAGTCTGTAGCAGGTGGTTGTCTAAATCCACTGGTCTAGGAGCAGTACCATCCTGGTAACCACAGAAATGGAAATCTGAACAGCAGTCCCTTCTAGCTTTCACAAAAAAATACTTCCAGTGCTGCTGGACCACATAAGCCAATGCCATGCTCACTAAGACCTGAACAGCCTTGAAAACCAAAAGACGATTTAGGCTGCATGGACAGATGACTCTTAGAATGATTCAAACACATTTGAAACCAGGGCAGGCAAAATAAGGCCCACAGGCTGCCTCAGGCACCCACCAACTAATTGTACACTGCCCAGCCCACACAACTCACTCCCACCCTCCTGCATAGACAGGCCTGACCCAGTCAGCATGCATCTTCTGGGTGAGGAGGACCTGCTCAGCTTCCCTGGTGTCCAGCAGCTTGTCCTCATCTCTCTGCTGCAGCGCTCACTCTGGGTAGCAGGTAGAGAAGTAATGAGGGTGAGGGGCTGGAGTGCAGACAGTGGGGCTGGCAGAGCCCTCACTCAAGGGGATGGTGGGCACTTGGAGCGTGTGGCTCTGGCCAGCGCTACATGTGGTAGCAAGGAGCGCAACCAGCCAGTTTGCCTCTATCACATGGGGCTCCCTGTGGCAAACATGCAATTCCCAGCACTCATGCGCCACTGGAGGAAGCCCTGTGTGATGGAGCCAGCTGCTTTCCCTGCCCCCTGCTATGCAGGTCCCAGGGCTCCACCAGGAAGCAAGGGGCGGGGCTCCCCTCCACTTCTGGTGGAGTCCTGGGACCTGCATGGTAGGGGGCAGGAAAGGCAGCCAGCTCTATCATGCAGGGCTTCCCCTCCCTCTGCCTTCCTCTGAATGTATTTACAAATTCCAGAAACAGTAAAGTAATGAATAGGAATTTGCACATGTCTTTGCCCATAGTGGGTGGCTCACAAAGCAGTATATAATTATATTGGGAATATATATTTTACCTTGAGAAGATAGACTTTGAGTAGAATCTGTCTGTTTATCTTCAGTGTTACCATCTGCCTTTACTTCACTGCTAGTTGACACATCCACATGCTGAATTTTAGCTTTTGAATGGTTATCTATGATGTGAGCAAGGAAAACATGCTTAAAATACAACTAAATTAGAATTTTGCTGATTATTAAGAAAAGGTCAAAATTCCTTGGTTTTAAATCATAGTTTTAGATTCTTAAAAGTTCATCAGCTCACTCAGTTCTTTTATGTTAGGCAGCTGAATTATCTTTACTGTTTGGTATTATTAAGTATTCTTGCTAGAATACACTGTACATTTTCTGGAAATTCCAAACAAAAATTATTTGTATTAAAGACTGGGTGTGCATTTACAAATGTAATAGCTCAAATATGCAACCTAGATGTAGTCTTGGACTGGAATCTAAGCTGGTATGATTTTATATTCTACTGAAACAACTAGGGGTGCACTGCCAAAAAATGTTTGGGCCAATACTGATGGCTGATTAATGAGCCATATTGGCTGATACTGATCAGATTGCCAACATGCAGCCTGGCAGCTTGGAGAGCAGCAGGCTGATAAGTCTGTTGGGGCAGAAGAAGCAGGGGGCAGCGAGGGGGGGGCAAGAAGGAAGAGGCATAATCAAGGGCCCTACACTGAGGGAGGAAGTGGGGCTGAGGCAGAGGCAAGCACAGCCCAGCCAGGGTGGGGCATGGGGTGGAGTCAACAGCAGCTCATCCAGGGGGCACAGGGGCATGGGGCGCAGAGATGGGGGTGGTTCCTGCCACTGCGCACACCCCTGGGGAAGGCATAGGGGGCGTGTGCCCCCTGATCTGTGTGCGGGGAGAGGGCAGGCTGCTGCTGCAGGCTGGGGGCAGTGCCAGGCTTTTCCTGGAAGGGAGGGGGCAGCTCTCTCCAAGCTACTGGGCTGGCCATGTTCAGGCTGCACTTGCGCATGCACATGCATTTATCAGCAACATTATTGGCCATATCAGCCAAAAAAAAGCTAATTGCCGATAATGTCAATTTTCCTTTCATTGGTGCTGATACAATATGGACTGATGTATCAGTGCCCCTCAAACACTACCCAAAAGTTCACAGACAAGAGAAACTTAGAAAAAAGTAGAAGTTCAGAAAATAAGTCTTTCCCCTTGATTAGTACTCTCCTAATAGTATCATCTATCACTACACCTGTATTACAAGTTAATAACACATGCTATTTATTCAATTGCTTCATTCTATCTAATAAAACACTAAGAATTAATTTAACTAACGCCTGGAGTAAAATGCCCCAACAGTGAGCAGAAAACATAAATACATGCAAGTAATGCCTGCACCCAGAGATGATCCCAGAATGGTGCAGGTCCCAGGGCAAAGTAGCCTGTGTGGGGTCCCCCTCCCCATCCCACGGCACACTTGCGCCAGGGAGTGAAAGCCTCAGCACACCTGACACAGCAGGATGGGTGGTGGCTGGAACTCCTGGGCGGAACAAGTAAAGAGCCATCTAACCCGCCAGGTGGGTTAAACTGCAGCCGTGGCTCAGCTCTGCAGGGCCCCGCAAAGAACGGGGCCCAAGGTGGTTGCCCCGATTAGGGACAGCCCTGCCTGCACCACCCCTGGGTTATTGAAAGTTCACAGAGCAAGAAAAGCGTCATGAAACTGCCTAGCATGAAGGGGGAAGGAAGATGATTGTAAAATCCTGAAGTTTCACCGAATTCTACTGTGTGAAAAGTTGAATTGAAAAACTGATTTCTATTCCCAACCCTAGTTCATTAGCTACTGCATAAATGTCAAATGCAGAAATAATCAGTGAGATTCTGTCAAATATAGTTCACATTATGATAAATTAAAGAACCCCTAATTTAGAGTGCTAAATTAAACTAAACTTGTCTAGAATCACAGGGAGCTTGTAGACATTAAAAAAAAAAAAAAAGGTGCTTTACTTTAGACTTGGCATGTTCCTGAACCAAGCCCCATGCGTGCCCAGAAGAGGCAGTGCCTTAGGTGGACCTGGCTTGCCTGACATCTGTATCTATCGCAGGGGTGGACAATTATTTTGGGTGGAGGACAGCCTCCTGAGTTTTGGCAAGCTATCAAGGGCCACAAGGGTATCCCCGCCCAGGTGTCCCACCCTCTGATCCCCATCTTGGGACTGGAAGTCCTGACCCCTGACCTTTTCCACCAGCAATGCCTCCTCTTGCCCCCCAGAAGTTGTTGCCTGCCCTCCAGCAGCCAAACTGCCTTGTTTATATAGGCAGCCTAAAATGGCTGCCCTCATTAGGCAACTGGAGGCTGCCAGCTCCAGGGCCTTAAACCGGCAGGCACACCTAGTGCCCTGCCACAAGATAAAAGCACCAAAAAGTCCCACTGAAGTGCCCAATCTATATAGAGCAGGGGTGGGCAAAATATGGCCCGAAGGCTGAATCCGACCTGCCATGCTTTTCTATCTGGCACACAGGGTCCCTAAAAAAATTTAGAAAATTAATATTTATCTGCCTCTTCCTGTCTGTCAAAGATGACAGGAGCCAGGAGCAGTAGGACCCAGGGGAAGCCAGGGCAGGCTCCTGCAACAGCAAGGCTGGCCCGGCCCCCCACCCTGCTCCCCCCAGCCAGAAGCCCCTGCCTAGCAGAGGCTTCTGTCCTAGGACCGTGGGGTGGTTCCTGCCTGTGCCAGTACAGGAAATTCAGGTAAGGGGGTGGGGGGTAGGCAGAGGAGAACTGCAGGAGACTGCCCCAGTTTCTGGTTTCAAGATTGCAGTACCCTTCCTCCCAAAAGGAGTACTTCCAGGGCAAGGGGAGGGACTTCTGGTGGCAAAGGTTAGGGGTTGGGGGGGCAGGACTTCCAGTTCCGATACGGCAACCAGGGGCAGGGCAACTGTCAAGGGGCAGGGCTACCCTTGCAACCCTTGACAGCTACCCAAAACACAGTAAGTGACCAACTGCCCAAAATAATTACCCACCCCTCAGTTAAAGGCTGCAGAGACAAGTTGAAATCACATACTGCTTCTTCCAGTATAGCATGGTTTTAAGGTTTGTTTGTGTTTTTTAATGTCTGCAAGCAGCCACAATGAATATCCTCCACTTCCTCACCCCTTGCTACTACAAAGGTTATTCAAGATTCAAATACTGTTCTTGTGCAATTATCCTTACAGTTATCTGGCCAACCCATAAACTTGCAATGAAATAATTTAATTGGTTTTAATTCACATATTTTTGGAATGTATCCTATATTAGTTTTGCATACATCAGTTTTTCTACATAGTACCTTGTGAAACTACGAAGTACTGACCAGTACTTGAAGCACATACTGACAGAAAACAGCCTCTGGAGTCTACGAAAATTTTACCCAAATCAGGATTGCAGGACGGAGATTTATATATACATATATATATATCTCTCTCTATATATACACACATACACACACACACACACACACACACATACATATATACATACACACACACACACACAGGATAAGAACACTTACGTTCTTGCCATTTTCTCTTCATAATAGGTGGATCCATTACAACCTAAATACAAAGTCCATTTGTTAGTGCAACTCTTCAAATGGATACTGGCCAGTGGCATAAGATAGGGGGCAGCAACATATAGCCTATGTTGGCTGGATCTGGGCTCTGCCTGTACTTATGCTAGGGCAAGGAGTACAGCAGTGGAAGCACAGTTGGAGGACATGGGAAGAAGGGGCACAGCACAACTTAAGCCCCATGGCCCACACTCAGCTGGAGCCAGGTTGTTCCAGCTTACAGTTTATAAAAAGTTGCCAGCTGCTAGTGTAAGACTTAAGCATGCCTGGCCCACAATTCTTCTGGGGCCCCTTGCAAAATAATAGTTTTGGGGGGCCCTGACACAAAGAAGCCAGCAGCGGTGGCAGAGGGGTAGTGAGCAGCTAAAGCCAGCAGCGGCATTTGTGGGGAGGCCGAAGAAGCTGGCGGTGGTGGGACAGGAGTAAAAGGGGGGGGGCAAGTGGCCAAGTGTGAAGGTGACTTGGCAACGCATAATGGTGGCAACCTGCCACCCCCTTGCTATAGCATTGATTTAAAGTGTTTAGAGAGCCCCTTGGCTGCGGGGCTCCCTGCAGCCACAAGTTCCGCAGGATAGGATGGGCCAGCCCTGCACTTACTAATTACTGATTTTTTTTTTTTTTTAACATATAACTTTTAGGTGCTTTAAGGAGGAAAAGGGGGAGTTGCCACTCCTGAGGATGTAACAGTTAGTTGCAGTATAACAGCTGAGACATCTGCATGCTTCTATAGCCATAAAAGTGAGCTAAATTTTTGTAAGTTTCATGCAGGGCTAAAGTTACAATGGTTTTGCCAGCCTTGTTTTGCTACGGGAACATGCAGACCTAACAGTTACATCTGTATGAAATTATACTGATTTAAGGCTAACTGTTATGCCTGTCTATACCCTAAGAAGAGCAGGTGCTGATCTTAGTCTCGCAGTAAACAAGACAATGAATTTTGAAAGGGAGCTATGGACTTGCTTTTAAAATATAACTTCTTGCAAAAAATCAGACACTGATTGGATGCAGAAGCAACAGAGTCTAGTAAGAGACAGTCCCAATGAAACACAAAAGTATTATCACCACATACAAAAGAACAATTACTGCAAGTGAAATATACAATCTTGGATCCGGATGTGATATAAAGCAGAATACTTGGCTCTTTCTTGTGAAAAATATAGTCCACGCTATAGTTTTATCCAAACCTTTTACTGGAGAAAACAAACAATTAAAAGCACAGGTGTGGACTCAAGTTGAAGATCCAGACAACTCTTGTTATGAAAAGTTAAATTTTCCTCAAGAAAAAAAACCCAGCTCTACCGGAATACCATTAATGGGAACAGCCTAACCTGCAGAAAGTTTTTAGCATATATTTACCTATACCCATCTCAGAATTGTTACAAACATCCCTAATTATCTCATGTTTAAGCAAGCAGAGTATTCACCAGTGTGGCACATCAGAGTTTTGCCTGCAAATAACTTTAGCAGCAGATATGCAAACAAACCTCTCATTTGGGAACTTCCAACTGTACTGAACAATGGAGTCCTCATTATTCATTTTAACTCTGATCTTACACACACACACACACACACACACACACACACACCC